TTGACGAGATATAGGTGCCACAATGTAAAAAATATGAAATTCCGTACCAAAAAAAAAAAACAAAAAGAACTATGATGATAAAGCGCACCCTATCGATTTGTAAAAAAAACAATATTTTATTGGCTTTTTTTAACATACCATGATAAAAAAGCAACAACAAAGAAATTTATATTTCTTACATAATAAAATGCAAGCAATTTAAATCACTACTGAATATATTATTAATAATTTTTAGATTGTAATTCTTCTTCTTAATAAGCAACTATGACTGATAATCTTTCAAAAAGTCTTAAATCAACTGAATATGAATTATCTTGGGCAAATCGAGGTTTAAAAGGAAATAGTGCTGATGATGGTAAAATTTTTCATTTGTTTTTTTTTTTTTGTTTAATTAAAAATAAAAATTTCATTATTATTATTTTTTATATAGTTAAAGAATTATGTGATGCAATTGAACAATATAAACAATTAGTAGCTTTACGTCTTGAAGGTAATACAATTAATGAAGAAGCTGCAACAGCTATTGGTAAAGCATTAGAAAAACATAGTGAAATTCAAGTAAATATTTTATTTACGTTTTTTTTGTTTATTTTTATTTCTTATATTTAAATTTTTAGCGTTTAATTTGGAATGATTTATTTACAACACGACTTAAAACAGAAGTACCACCATCATTAGTAAGATTGAATTATTTATAATTTAATAATATTGAATATTTTTTTTTTATTTTTATTTAATAGATTAAATTAACTCAAGGTCTTATAATAAATGGTGCTCATATTGTTGAAATTAATTTAAGTGATAATGCATTTGGTCCAATTGGTGTTAAAGGTCTTGAAACATTTCTTTGTTCATCAGCATGTTTTACACTTGAAGAACTTCGACTTAATAATTGTGGTATGGGTAGTGAAGGTGGAAAAGTAAGTAAAATGAAAATATGTTTTTATTTATAAAATATAATTCAAATTTATTATTTTAGTTATTAGCTGAAGCATTAATTACATGTCATAAAAATAGTCAAGGAAAATTTGCTTTAAAACAATTTGTAGCTGGTCGAAATCGTCTTGAAAATGAAGGTGCACAAGCATTAGCAAAAGCATTTGAAGTAAATTATTTTTTTTTTTTTTTATTTTGAAAGTTTTTTTTTTTTTGTTATTTTTGGTAATTAGATTATTGGTACATTAGAAGTAATTCGTATCCCACAAAATGGTATGCGACCACCAGGTATTGAAGCATTAGCTAATGCATTTGTACAAAATCAAAATTTACGTACTATTGATCTTAATGATAATTCAATAACATTAGCAGCACAAAAATTATCATTAGCTATTGAAAAATTACCAAAATTAGAAATTCTTAATCTTGAATCATCACTTATACGTACAAAAGGTGCTATTGCTATAGCACGAGCTATTGTTTCACATAAAAATCTTCAAGTAATTTAAATAGATTTAATTTTTTTAATGAAATAAAATGATATATATATACATACTTTTAGGAATTATATCTTGGATGTAATGATATACATACTGAAGGTGCACTTGAAATAGCACATGTTGTTAAAAATATGTCATCATTAAAAATATTAGATTTAAATGGTTAATTTTTCTTTTGATTTGTTAAATAAGAATAAGATTTTCTTTTTTTTGTTAAAGGTAATTGTTTTGGTCCTGATGGTATTGATGAAATTCGTCATGCACTTGAAAATAAAAATTTCGTTCATCAAATGGTATTCAGGTAAGTTAAACATAATTTACTAACAAACAAGATACTTCGACGAATACTTAAACTTTACTATAGAAAATTGAGCTTCAAAAATAACGTATCAATTCCAGTCATGTGTTCATTTGTATTACTATAAATTTAGAATATCTATTTGAGATGATCACTACATAGTGCTATGTCTTGATCAAATCAAGTTTTCGAATGATAGGAGCTCAGAATATGTAGGTTGTAAGTCTCATCGCCGAAACAAACATTATCGAAAAGAAAGATCGCTGAATTCATTTCGATCATCTACTAGCTTATTAGAATTAGTACTGAATCAAGTTAGTGACTAATTTAACGTGGTTCCTAACTTGATTTCTAACTTATTGTATTACTCACTTAAATTAGTTGTTAACAGGTCGATTCGATCATTGGCATAAAAATTGCCGATGGTTATATCGCCGAAAATACGGATAGTCGATAGTCACATTGCCGAAGAGCATAGTGACCTTGATATCAGTGTCGGTTGGGCTTATAAAGTATTTATTAAGTTTTAAGCAAGCAAATATTTTTTGATGTAAACGCATTGCAAAACTGTTTTGAGTAAATAAGAGCTGATGTAGCCGGCAGTGACAAATATTAGATATAACTTCTTGCAAATTGTTGCAATGCATTTTAGATCAAAAATTTATTTCAAATAATAACTGATGTTCTGTATAAATAACAGTAACATTTTCTTAAAACAAAAATAATTTTTTTGATTAAATTCTTTCATAAATAATTGTATTATGATTTTTACATTGCATAAAAGTGCATCTTCTATGTGATGGTAAAAATTGCATCTCGATATTAGTTTACGTGCGCGAGTAATTCAACGATAAAAGAGTTTTAGTGAAAATACGAAATCAACTGGATAAAATAGAATATTCCGAAATGCTAGGTTATATGAAAGAAGCTAAATGAGCCTCCTTCCAATTTCAATGATTTTTGTTTGAAGATACTACATAATGTTCTAATAAAATCCCATTCGAATTTTGATTCGAAACTGTAGAGAACTCAACTAGAGTAGATTTCTTAAAAAAAACTCTCCTAGTCCACTCTTTCCAACGAAACCACCGGGGAGTTCGATATCTCAGGATCGGTATGCCTGAGTAATGTCGAAAAGTTCGAAGACGGTCAGGATAATATCTTAGTAGTGTTAATATTGTCTGGGAAAGGAAAAATGAGTGAAACTATGTTTCTAGTCATTTTTTATTTATTTATTTTTCTTTTATCCTTAGCAACAATAAACGATAAATCTTCTAAATACTCTTCTAAATTTATTTCATCATTTGCATAATGATCAGCAAGAGTATGAATGAGTGTTAAAAATAAGATACATCATAGTATTTATAAAACTAGATATCCTTGCGTATACCCTTGCCATTTCTTTTATCAATCAGTCTAATAATTAGCTTACCGTTTAATCTTTATAACTCTTCTTTTTTGTTCCAGAGGAAGCGATGATTAATTTATCTCTATTTATATTCTACCTTTTAAACTGTTCTTTTATATTTTATGGGAAAAATTTTTCTTGTACATGCTATTATTATAATAAACAGTTGCGCCTCATGCTCTTTGATTATTTGTCAAGTCGACAAATTTTCATTCGACCATTTGTACAATCTCAACTCTACTAAGATTTTACCCTTACCATCTTCGAACTTTTCGACATTACTCAGTACATTCTCAGGATCTCCCTAAAACTTCTCGAAGTCCCAAAATTTTAGAGAGACCCTCTAAAATTTTCATAAATTCGAATTTTTCAGAAAATTCCAATGATGGCTTCTGGAGAGACCCCGATAACACTCATCAATTCCCTGGGAAGTCCGTGAATTCCGTCTTAACTTCCCCAGGAACTCACGACAGGGATTCTTCTAGGGAGTCTCGACTAGGGTCACAAGTTTTGAATAAAGTCTCATCAAGATAGAAAACTTTCAAGCTATAGATCCTTTTCCATGGATAGTCTATAAAACATATATTTCTGTGAAAGTTTCATATTTCGAAGAGATTTTATTTAAAACTTATGAATTTTTGTGTGGAAGCTAGTCTAGTTGAATTCTGTATATGCAAGGAATTCAAATCCTTTTAGAGTTTTTATTAGAACAATATGTAGTATATATAACCAAAAAGAAAACAAATCATTGATATCGAAAAGAGACATCCGATGAAAGACTCTCACGTCAACTATCTAATAACAAAGCTTAGCGAATATTACATACTATTCTATTTAGAGAAACATTTTAGAATTTATAAATCTTTTTTTTTTTTCGGTAAACGTCAAATAAGGTAAAAGTATCCGCAGAATTATCTAGAGAAATCATTATCCATGATTAGTACATACAAAAAACAAAATCAGATTTCAACGACGTGAGTTTGTCTTCAGATTCTAATAGAACTTCATCCCGAACTATTTTCCTTATCGAGATGTTGAAAAATCACTTTATTTATATTTGTTTTAATAGTGATGATGAAGGTAGTGATGAAGAAGAAGAAGAAGAAGAAGAAAATGAAGGTGAAGATGAATATGATGAAGAAGATAATGATGAAGATTATGAAGATCAAGAAGAAGAAGAAGAAGAAGAGGATGTTGAATCGCCATCCTTCTTTTTTGGTAAAACTTCTACTCAACCAACATGGAATCCTTTTCAATTCGGTACTACGAAACCTAATTCAACTCAACCAGAATCTGTTAGTGGTCTTTCAAGTATGATGGCTAGTTTTAATGTTTGTTCACCGTTTAGTTTTGGTTTACAATCAACTATTGAAGTAATTTTTTTTTTTTTGTAAGACAAAATCTTCTATTTTTTTTTATAGACAAAAGAAAATAAATGGACAACATTTACTAATTTTGATAAAGTTAAAGAATATTTAAAAGTTTGTATATAATCTTAAATTATAACAGCATTTCTAATATATATATATTTTTTCTTTGTTTTTGAAGAATGATGAACAATCTACTGAACGTGCTGTAAAATTACTTGAAGATATATGGAGTGATAATTCCATATCACAAAATGAAAGTTCATCAATTGCTTGTAAGAATTTTCTATCTATTATTGAAGACATATATTTCTTTCTTTTTTATTTTCCTAGCAAATACTTTAAAAGCATTAACATTTACAGAAGATAGTGAACGTAATTTTAATGAACGTTTACTTGTATCATTAGGTTTTGTTAAAGTAAGAATAAATACTGTGAACACGAAAATTACTCAACAAGTTTTATTTTCGACTGCTTTAAGTATTAGAAAAAATCTAAATAGTAATTTGAGTTGAGGAAATTCTTTCCTACAGGAATAATACAAAACTGAAATCCTAAGTTTTTAACACATAGAAGGTGTAATCATAATTTTCTTTAGACTAAAATAGAATCATAGAGCAAACAACTCTTTACAAAATAAGATGATACAAAGATCTCTACGATATTTTTTAACGAAGATACAGCAATCTTACGTATGTTCCTGATGTTGTTTTTATTTTCTATGTAAATAAAACCATTTTTCGAACTTCAATGAAATAACTGTATCTTAGGAACATCAGAGAATCGTTTTCTTTATCATTCTATGTAGTCTAAACAATATTATACTTACACGTTATAGGCAAGGCTCTCGATGTGGGAGGGTGGCCTCAGCATAAATTAAAATCCGTTTTACTGTCTGGCAAATATTTAAATAGACACTGTTCGGGGGATCTTCGCAAGCTACCTACCCCCACCTTGGCCCCGGTTTTGGTTTTGTGTATGGAACTTTTCCCGAGATTTAGCTCATTCCTGAAGAGGGATAAGAGATCTCTCCAAAGCTACCGCCCTCCCTCTCAGTCACCAGTTTTTATGAAAAACTAGGAAATTTTCGGTGACAGACTGTCAGCGAAAGTTTATGAAAAGTGTATGCTCCCCCTCCCCCCTCCCTACTCAAAAACAATTGAGAGCCTTGGTTATAGATACTAAAGAATAAAGATGTGTAGAATAAGCCCTTTTTTCGTACCCTCTATCCTGACTAATGTCGTTGCCAGAATTAAAAGAGTAGTGGGTGTAATCTTACAATTATTGAAGACATCTTGCATGAACTCTAATGTTATCCCTCTTGGAGGTTCGTTCATTTTTTTGAAATTTACTAATATTTCGTCTATTCTACACGTTTATATGTTGGATAATTCTGTTGTTTACGAAAAAAAAATGATTCATTTTCCTTGACCTCAGTCTCACTGGTACCAATTGAGAGTGCATCTTACCCATATCTAATCTTGATTGAGAAAAATTTTCTAACTCTTACCCTCTCTGTTTGAGAATTCATATTCCTGTCGCAAAAGAATTTTCTATACTCGAATCACTATTTGGATCCTGTTTTACGTTTAATGCAGCCAAAAAAAAAAAAATTGAAATTTCGATGTTCACTCTATATGTCGATATTTTTTCTTTTGAAAATCATCTAAATATTCTTTTCTATAAGGATGAACAAACCGGACGACAACGTCGTACAATAAATCAACGTGATAAAATATTTAAAACACTTGTTGATATTAATCAATTCTTACCAAAATCAACAAAAAATCTTCTTTCTGTTTTTCTTCAAAATACACCGTAAGATTTTTTTTTTAGTTTTATAAATTTTAACAAAATAAATGATCTTTTTTTTTTTTAGGAACGAAAAACTTCAATGTTTACCCGAAATTAAACAACAATTATTATCAACATTAAAAGGATAATAAATATTGTTTTTGTTTTTTTTTTTTTGTCTTGTATCTATTTTTGTCATGAATCTTAAGCACGAAATAGATGATCAACAATGAAATTCTCTTGTTTTCTTTTTTTTTTTTATTGTATATTTCAAGATAAGAATGTTAAGACGATTTCTTACAAATCAATTAATTATTTCTACACGTTTTGTATCACAATATTATTCAAAAAAGAAAATTCTTGTACCGAGTCGACTCGGGTATGAATAAAAGAATAAATAACAATTTCAAGTTTTATTTTCCTTAGTGTTACACCAGGTAATCAACATTTGGAAGTGAATTTATTTGATGATGAAAATAAACAATTACTTGGTCGTATGTCATTAATTGAAGCACAAAAATTGGCTAAATATCGTGATTTAATACTTGTACTTTTTGATGAATCACATGATCCACCTGATGTACGATTAATGACAGGAAAAAATTTAGCACAAATACGTGATGAAACACGTGTAAATAAAAAACGAGAATTATCAAATGATAAAATAACAGATTTTATTTTACGTCTTCGTCCAAATATTGCTGAAAAAGATTTATTAACAAAATTAGCACAAGCTAAAAATGCTTATTCAAAAGGATGTAGTATTCGATTTTCATTAGATTTTGGACGTGCTATTGATGAAAAAGAAACAGAAAAATTGGTAAGTAATTTAAAATTAATCCTTTATCCTCGATTGGATCGTTTTCGATTCATTCATAGAACTTTTGAAGAAAACAAAAAGAAACTTGATAATCGAAAGTTCTCAAAATAATTTGTTCTGTCTTCGAGATCTACGACTAACAAAATTGCTAATTCTGTAAAATTGAATAAAGTTAAATTTTTAATCACAGTCAATAAAAGTTTTTGAAGAGGCATTGTGTATTTTATATTGATCTATATGTCTAGCATACAATTGAATGCTTTTGACAAAATTTTATAACTGCTAGGGAGACAAATAATAGTAGGACAAAGATGGATTTTGAAAGAACTTGTGAACTGAAAGAGGATAATGACATACATCTCACTACACACACAGTTGAAAAAAATATGTAGCATCGATTAACTGTGTTCACTAATCATAGAATTACTTAAATAAAACTAACTATTTATAAAAACATTTACGTCAATAATACATGTAGGATTTGAAAGTAGTTTTTTTTATATAAGATACATTTCGTCTTTGAAGTTATTTAAATAAAAAGGAATCGATGACATCTTTGTCTAACTAGCACTGTCATAGAAAAGGAAGAAGATAAAGATTTTGAAATCATTCTGTTATCCTCTCTGTTTTCTAGGTTATTGTGGACATCAAAGTACCCTATATATACAGTAGCTGCCAAAATTGAGCGTCCACCTTTTGTTTTTCATTTTTCGCTTCGACTATAATAGCTAGAACAAATCTGAAAAAAAGTTTTGAATAGCTGAAAGAGACTACAATCAGATGAGGTGCATATGAAAATTCCATTAAAACTCCCGAAAGCTAGGTCTTTGGAAAATCAAAATTTTGAAAAACCCCCAAAAAAATCAAATCCCGGGGTTCTAATGGAAATTTTTTGTAAATAGCCTGTTTGTGTAGAGAAAGTTTTTCTGAGTAAAACCAGACGTCGCTCACCTTCTACGATATTTTTTCATCGAACTGCATTCATTTTACAAGACCCTTTATCGTCAAAATCAGTAAAAATTACTAGACAAGCAGCAAAAATGATAGTAAAAACGACCGAAAAGTCTTTCATAAAATGAATGCAGTTCGACGAAAAAATGTCGTAGAAAGGTGAGTGACGTCTGGTTTTGCTCAGAAAAACTTCTTCTACACAAATAGGCTATTTACAAAAAGTTTCCATTAGAACCTCGGGATTTGATTTTTTTGGGGGTTTTTCAAAATTTTGATTTTCCAGAGACATAGTTTCCGGGAGTTTTAATGGAATTTTCATATGCACCTCATCTGATTGTAGTCTCTTTCAGCTATTCAAATCTTTTTTCAGATTTGTTCTAGCTATTATAGTCGAAGAGAAAAATGAAAAACAAAAGGTGGACGCTCAATTTTGGCCGCCACTGTATATATAGGTTTGTGCCTCTGATCGATCTGAGCGTACCATTGGTATATCTACCAGGACTATACTCTATTTCTATAGTGATTTTATCAGTAGTACTGCTGGAACAGTTTTAGAGGGTAAAGGGTTAATAAAAATAGAATTTTATGATAAATTAAACTATCTTCAAATGAAGTCAATAAATTTTACAATAATAAACAAACACAACTATATATATCGGTGTTTTTCCTCTTTCTTTCTAATACTGGTGCGGAAAAAACAAGACGATTAACTGGACAAGATATTGACAACTATTCGTCATCTTCTTTTTTTTTGTACTAGTATTAGAAAGAGAAAAGAAAAAAAACCTATGTGTATATCTATGTTTGTTATTGTTGTAAAATTTGCACTGAAGAAAGTAAACCGATGACTATCGACACGTCTTGAATAAATAAGTTGTTGGAAAATCATACAGGAAGAGTATGAAATCTATTTCAAAACTTTTGAAGAAATATTTAAAGATTAGTTCTAGTATTGTTTTTTAAATTATCATCTATCATCAAAAATTTATTGGTATTGTAATCGATTAAAATACATACATCATGGAGATAGAGTTTGACAATCGATTAATAGCTTCTTAAAGTATGTGTAATATTGAATTGCTATCGTGGAATCTTGTTTTGTGTAATTGATATTTCAGTTTTAGCAGAAGAAAGAAGTCATATGAGTTTAGATCTATGGAATATGTTCAATCCCTCACGGACAAAAATAAGTTCTTTGTTTTCCCTTCTTGTATTATTATATATACATTTGTATACACATATGATATTTTATTTCAAAATGATCCATTTTCAATTTTAGAGTGAAGGTATGTCTAAACATTTTTTTTTTTGAAAATCGATTGTTTTCTCTAGCTGATAAACTTCACAAATGGTTAGCCGCACTATTACTCATAATCGATGATGATGCAACTCTGAATCACGATAGAAATGCCACTCAAACTTCTTGCTCGATTTCTCAAGCTACTCATACACATTATATACGACATTATTGTATATCATAATAACAAAGATGGCCGAGTTCGATTAATCAGATGAAAAAAAGCTTTGAGTAAGATTGCCATCCCAATTTAGAGCTGTATCATTAGTAACACACTAAGTAACCATTTGTAATGCTTATCGACTACAAAAAACAGTCGATTTTCAAAAAAGACATGTTTAGACATACTTTCACTTTAGAATTGAAAATGGTTAAATAGGATATTTTTCTTTTTTTTATTGCTGTTTGTATTCTCTCAATATTACCAAAATGGGTTATTTTGCAATAAATACAAAATAATACGTAAATAAAATACTTAGGACATACGAAAAGTTTAAACGATCTTTTCGGATAAGGGAACCTTTAGAGAAATGAAAAATTAAATATATCATGTTGTAGAACTTTTCGAGGCATGTTGAATAATATATAGTAAATCTTGTTTTCATAGAACTTCGAAGGATCTCGAGTCAATTTACTGATAGACCACTACACATCAACACTGACAAGATGACCGGAGATGCTACACAGAGGATAGTGTAGCTCGTCAAAAACTCTACAAAATCGTATGTGAGAAAAAAAAATTTCGACTAATATCAAGGATCACAATATTCAGAAACTTATCATGTTTTGAATGTTGATGTATAGTCATCTATCAGTAAATTGACCCTAGTTCTTTTAAAATCTTACGAAAACAAGATTTACTATATATCATTCAACGCGCCTCAAAAAGCTCTACAACATTGAATATTTGGTTTTTCATTTCTCAATAGGTTCCCTTATCCGAAAAGATCCTTTAAACCCCGTGTCCAGAACTTTTGGTATGCACTAAGTATAATATGTGTATGTAATAATATAAGAAGAAGAAGAAGAAAAAAAGGCATTTATTTTGCATCCATAAGAGGATCGACAACTTCTTCAGAGTTCAAAATGTCCATGGTTTCGTGTTTTGATAGCAGAAACTGAGGTCTTGAACACCGATCTTTTATTTTTCTGACTGACAAAAAATTTTCTTGCCATTACCCTATCCCGTAGAAAATTTGACATCAACGGACTATCATTTTATGTTCGATTCCAATTTTTAAAAACTTCTATGTGACATTTCACGATGAGAAAAATTGATTCTAGACTGTACTATTCAATTTTTTTAATATAATCTAATTATATTTTTAGACTGAACGTGCTGATGAACAAAAAGAATTTCTTGCACGACTTAAACCATATCTTGAAGAATTTCCTAAAGTACATACAAATTCAAAAAGTACACGTTCAATTATTCTAATTGTTCCATCGAAATTTCTAATAGAAAAATCAACTAAAAAACAAGAAGAAAAAAATGAAGAATCCGAATCAATTGATGATAAATCTTCAATAAGTTCACAACATAATCATAAAAAATCTATTTGACATTTGATTTATATGAAATATCATAGTTTTTCTTTCTTTCTTTCTTTCTTTCTTAGATAAAATGTCAATCTTTCTATTTTCTAGATGATAATTTTAAAACGTTTTTATTTTCGACCAATATTCTATCATTATCGTACAAATACAACAACAACAACAACAAAAACAAAATTAAATACATTTAATATTGAATATGATCCAATAAAACAATCTATAATTTATCCACAAGAATTAAATCTTAATAATAAAAATTATTCAACTGATTCATGGACAAATGTTAATGAAAATATACTTTCACGTATTGGTTTAAATTTACATCAACAAAAAAATCATCCATTATATCATTTAACAAATCGTCTTAGAAAATATTTTTATCAATTTTATGATCAAAAAAAATTATCACCAAAATTTTCTATTATTGATAATCTTTCACCAATTGTAACAACAGAACAAAATTTTGATTCAATATGTATACCTATTAATCATGTGAGTAGAACAAAATCAATGAATTATTATATTAA